TTTCCCCAAGGAACTATCTAGTTTTTTCTTGTATAACTCCCAGTTCGCTTTCCTCGGGTTGCGTACCGTTAGTCGATTAAAGTTCTCGAAGTTCACCACTAATTGGGCCTTCACCCTAGGACTCCCCATCTAACAATCCTGTCTGCTAGGGATTCAGAGTAAAGAGTGACGTCAACTACTTCCCTTCTGTTCTTGACTATGAAAGTGGGTTCTGTACCCCTGTTACCCACCAAAAGATTGGAGCCTAGGATAAAATCGAAGATTGACTCATCCCTCTCGTTCGTGTCAGTGCTTCCCCACTGATGATGATGGGCGTTAGCATCGAAACCTATGATCAGGTCGATCTTGTGCTTCCTGCTGTCTTCCACCAGCTGTTTGATTAGCGGGTGGGGGGGGAGGGCCTCCTGGTCGTGGCCCATATGCGCCGAACATATCCTTAGAGGGCCATTTGGGCTCTCTATGGCTGCGGCTACGTGGTCTTCATTGCTGAAATTGGGTAACAAAAAGAGGTTAAGGTTCTTTTTTGTGAGGATGCACCCAATCTTGCCTTTTACCTGTAGTATCGGCTTTGCAGAGCCTAAACTCCGACGCCCCCAACCCAAGAATCCTGTCTCCTAGGATCCAGGGTTCCTGAATGAGGGGCACATCAGCTCCACTCTCGGCGAGGTGGAGTAGGAGGGCAGCTGACGCCGCTTTACTGTGGTGGAGGTTTATTTGCAAGGTCGTCAGGGACATCCTTACAAATCTCCACCACAGTAATTTCTGCCTCCGTCTCGGAGCTCAGCAGAGGGTCCTCCTCCATTCCGACTCCACCAAGTGCCCTTGCCAAGTCGCTTTCCTCCGAGGTGTACCCTTCCAGGATGTCCTCCTCCTCATCCGACATTCCTTCCGGGTGCCCCTCTTCGGTCGGCTCCTCCAAGTCTGGCTCTTGTGTGTCTGCCTTCAGCCCGATACCTCCTGGCTTGGCCTTCGCATCGGATTTGTAGATACGGACCGAAACGTGTTCGAATCCGTACTTCAGCCGGTGCTCCGTCCTCTCCAGGGCTTTAACGGTCTCCTCGTTGAGTGTGAGGACGACCTGCCTCCGCAGTCCCACCGCCTCCTCGACCTTGGCGACTCTCCAGTCCGCCGTGGGGAGCGTTGGGTTGCACATCCTAAGCATTGTTAGAATGGTTTTCGGGTCGGCTGGTTTTTCTGTGAGCCACACTCGCGCCCTCGGTTTGCTGGGGATCTCGTCCCAGTCAACCGCCACCAGCTTAGCTCCAGGGTAGACCTATCCTAGCGATGCAACCATCCGCTTGTAAGTCTCTACCGATCGCGCGTCTTGGCAAGCAATCACCTTGACGCTACCCTGATACCATCCTTCGTCTTCGCATTCTGGTGGGGGTCCTCCGCCTCGCAGCATCTCCTCCACGAAGCGCCCATGCAACTCGTTTACCACTCGTCGCCAAAGGTCCTTGGGGATGAGCCCATCCTTGGAGCCCTTGTCCAGGACTCCAATTGAGGTTCTTCCCTTCGTTACTTCGGCGAACGAGCGGTTGGACGGCTACGGCTGGGCCTTCCTCTTCTTGGCCTGGGGGGCTTCTCCCTCTGTGGACCTCTGCCTTTTCGCGCTTTGCGCGGCCTCCTTGGCAGGGTCTGACCCGGTACGTCTCTTCGGATCCAGCCTTTCCCCCGCCTTTTCCGGATTAAAGTCGGGTAGGATCTCCCTTGCCCACTTAATAATCTCGGCCTAGTCCGGGTTGGCTTCGGCCGATGGGTCCGCCCTAATCAAAATGAAGACTGCTCTTCTTCTGTCCTTGTAAGAGCCTTAACGGTGCGTCGAGTGAGATGCTCCCGGGCCAGGGTTAGCATTAGGGGCCCCGCCGGTTGGTTTAGAGGTTGACCCTGGGGTCTTCCTCTCCACACCGTTCGGTGGTCCCATAGCTAGCCCCGCTTTGGAAGAAGTTGCCTTGGCAACCTCCTCCGCACCGGCGCGTTCCGCATCCAGATGTTGCCCCTCTGTGGGGGGCTTCTCCATCTCAGCAACTCCATGACTCTTGAGGCCCTTGGAGTTTGACGGGTCATTGACCCCATTTCCGGACTTTTTTTGGGAGTTTCGTTCGCCACTTTGGTTTTTGGTTAGATTAGTAGAATTCATATTTTGGTCCCACGAGTAGGCGGGAAGGGGCTCGTCCATCATGACATAGCCCGCTTGTCACAATAAGCCTGGTTAAAACTGGGAGGTCGGTCAGTCCCCCAGAGTTCGCATATTAGCGTCCGAGCCCCCCCTCGGACACGCATCCTTCGGCAAATGCTGTTCCACTTTGGATTGGGGTGATTTAAGGAAGGGAGTGTTTTTCTCCCCGCCCGACTACCATTAGCCAGCATCCTCGGCAGAGACATGACCTTACCGGGACCTGTTACCAGCCGCCCTCACGTGGAGAGTATAGTCGCACTACCAGCGGTGTTGAGGTTGGTGCACGATTTTTTAAGCAAACATGGATTTGGTTGTTCCTTCCTTTATTTAAACTCAAATCATGGCGCGCGAGAACGCGAGAGTTAGAGAGCTAAAAAACTTCGTCGTTTTCCCTTGCCTTGTAAGCTTCACCTAGCGATCGCAAACGCCTCGTTCTTCCGCCATTTTATCGTATATCGATAAGCTTACGTCTAGCGTTTTTCAAAACTTATTCTAACATTATTCAACACTAATTTTAACGATTTCATTTTTCAAATATAAACTTAAATCTATGACGGCGGTAACATTCCCTCCCCCGTAATTGATCCCGATCCGTGGTCAGTTACCATTCTCCAAGCCGACATCCAGAACTGCTACCTTTGTTGCTGGTCTTTCTATAGCACCATGCTGCGTCTTGATTGTCACCCGCCGAACTTGTCCATCGTTGGCCATCATTGCGTCAGTCACGCGTCCTTTCAGCCACAGGTTCCTGGGAAGAAGCTCATCCACGACTACGACGATGCTTCCGATGGTGATTGGAGGTACCTTCTCGAACCATTTGGTGCGCCTGGTTAATACGGGTGCATATTCCTTAACCCATCGTTGCCAAAAGCGGTCTCCGAACCGCTGAGTCTCGTTCCATCTACGCTTCAGATTCATTCCCTCTTTTGGGAGCGGCTTGTATCCGTTCGCTGATCCTAGCAGCAGGTGGTTTGGAGTCAGGGCAGCGTCATCCTCGGAATCCAAACTTACGAACGTGAGAGGTCGCGAGTTGATGATAAATTGCGCCTCCATCAGTGCGTTTCTCAGCTCCTCGTCGTTGAAAGAGTAACTTGGGCAAATGTTCTTCAAGATTCCTTTCGTTGTCCTGACGAGTCTCTCCCATGCTCCACCCATGTGCGGTGCTTCTGGTGGGTTGAATCGCCACTTTATGCCGTCGAACTTGATAGTGATCTTATCGTGCTCGATCTTTTTCAGCTCCTCGCGCACGGTTTTTTCCGTGGCTCTGAAATTTGTACCGTTGTCTGAGAATATTTCTCTTGGTGTCCCTCGAAGGGCCATAAAATTGGCTAGGCACATGATACATGAACTAGTATCTTAACTGTGGGCGATCTCAAAATGCACCGCGCGCAACGTAAGACAGGTGAACAGAGCTACCCATCTCTTCTCCTTGCGCCGGCCGACGTTCACCAATAACGGGCTCCAAAATATTCAACGCCTGTATAGGTGAACGGCCTCTCGAAGCTTCCAACTCTTGCCCTCGGGATCGGTGCCATCTGGGGTGGTCTGGGAACTGCTCTGTCGATCTTGCATCGTTGGCATGTGTTTCGCACGGATTTGTGCAATACTCGTAGCGGGCTGATATAAAACGAATTTTTGATGTCGTTTATTACAGTTTCGTGAGCGAGATGGTGATACTTTTCGTGGAAGCTCCTAACTATGAGGTTGGTTATCCGGCATCCATGAGCTAGTATAATGGCGTCCTCAGCTGTGTCAACTGCGTTCAATCTGCCTCTAGTTCGTAGTACTCCATCGTTGTCCAGGTACGCGTTCAATCCGGCCAATCTGCTTCCCTTGAGGAGCGCCGTTCCCGCGGATAACGTTTTTAGTTCTGCTGCGAAAGCGATGGATTGGGATTGCTTGTATAGCAGCATCTCTGCCTTGCTTACATGAGCCATTGTCGTGGTTGCTGGCATATCTTGTCCGGCACATTTCGCTCGCAGCCGATCAATAAACAGGAGTACTAGCGCCACAGCTCTGTATAACCACCGCCAATTTGAAAAATCGTTCGCGTTGAAGATAACCACTGATTTCGTATGGGACGTCATCACATGCTTCCGGATCTCCGAGGTATCGATGATGCTTTCCTGCTTCTTGGATATTGGCCAGTTGCTCGCATCGGTCTTCAGGAACTCCGGACCCGTTATCCACGTCTCTTGTTGGGTTTGCCCGGTGACCTTGGTAGCTCCATCTGCTACGTTCAGCTTTGAAGGAATCCACCGCCATTGCTTGACCAGTGTTGTTTCCAGAATTTCGGCGGCTCTGTGCATCACGAACTGATGAAAGTTGCGGGGGTCCTTAGTTAGCCACTGCAACACTGTCTTGGAGTCCGACCTGTATGTGGCGCTGTCAACTCGTAGGTTGCGTGTGCTCATCACCTTTTGGGCTAAGCGTACTCCCATAACTGCTGCCTGCAGCTCCATACGCGGAATCGAAAGTGGTTTTAAAGGTGCCACCTTTGATTTCGCCATTACCAAAGATACGACGACTCTGTTATTCGTTGCCACGCGCAAGTATTAGACTGCAGAATTTGCTTGCTCGCTGGCGTCGACGAATGCATGGAGTCCAATTTGACTTGGCTCCGATGTGGCTGGGGAAAAGCATCTAGGGACCTCGAAAGTTCTTATGCCTTGCATGATGGTTTTCCATTGGCGCCATTCTTCTAGAATCCTCTCAGGTAGCTCCTGATCCCATTAAATTTTTTGCCGCCATATACACTGGGGGAGTATCTTTAGTCCAATCGTTTGGCATGATAAAAATCCCAATGGATCGAAGATCGAAATCAAAACTTGTAATACTTCTCGCTTGGTTGGCGGAATACGTTTTCCGCCAGCACATCACGCTTCAGCCTTGAAAATCTGCAGATAAATTTAAACATATCATTATGTGGGTCCCAGAACATGCCAAGTATCTTTTCTGTTGCACAAAAATCCTCGGGCTTTTGGGTTCCAGCGTTGCCATTATCTTGCAAGCTTTTGAGTACTTCTTCCGAATTCGACGACGAGTTACGGATCTCAAATCCGCCTCTGCGATGGACTTCTATGACTTGTCTGGTGATCTGGATAGCCTCTTGTTCGTTCCTCATGCTATCGATGAAGTCGTCAACGTAGTGCGCCCTTTGGATGGCGTTTAAGGCCAATGGGAACTCTTCTTGGTGGGTTTCCGCGTTCTTATCTCGAACGAAGTGCGCTATAAACGGCGCGCAGCTAATCCCAAAAGGCATAGCTCGCATGACATAGGTGTCTCCTTTGTCGCTGCCCTTGTCATACCACAAAAATCGCTGCGCCTGCATATCCTCCACGCGAATGTTGATCCTGTGAAACATTTCCGCAATGTCACCACAATTCGCTTTTTTGTTGACCCGAGTCATTTAGCGCGTGTCCGTGTGCCTTTGCGGCTGCATCCAATACGAGCCTTATCTTTTTTTGCTTGTTTGGATTCAGCGCTATGAATATTGGCAGATACCATGTACGGCTGTTCTCCCGGCTGGTTTCTTCCTCGGATAGCTTGACCGCGTATCCTTTTTCTAGGAGGTTCCTGATTTGGGTGTCAATCTTTTCATACAGATCTGGTTCTTGAGACACCTTTTACCACATGCAGGTAAGCCGCTTCAGAGCGTTGCTCCGGCTCTCAGGGAGTTTGTCGATACCACCGCGCCACGGAAGTCCAACTTCATATTTTCCGGACTTCTTTTGGCAGGTGCTTTCCAATATCTTCACTGCCAGCTCATCTTCAGCTGAGTATATCTTTCGTGGTACGAGTGCATCAAGGTTGAAATGTTCCTTGATGTCGTCATGGAGTTCTTGCCAGTCTCAGTCGCAGTGGTGCATGAAAATGGATCGTTGTGGGTTCGCCGATCCTTGGATGCTCCATCCTAGCATGCACTTCGATGCTATCGGCTCGTTCCATTTTCCTTCCAGTTATTGGTTCCGATTAGCAAAGTCGGCTGGGCAGAGTAGGACCGTAGCGGCAAGTCTTTCAAATGCTGGAATCTGTCGCATAGCTCCTTCATGTTGACTGTCTGTCTCGGTAGTGCTAGGTTCTGAACGGTCTGGACGTTGTTCAACCAGTAAACCTTATCGCAGTTCATTTCCGAGATTTGGACGGATGCTTTCACGGATCCACTCTCGAGTCGAGTCGTCTCTGCGGTCCACTGCAAACACATTGGCGCTGCCTGGCCTTGTGTTCCCAATCTTTGGAATACGGATGCATCTGCTAAGGTCACGGATGATCCTTCATCTAAAAAGACATAGATCTCGGTCTGCCTGCTGCCGTAATGCAGCTTGACTGGAATGATGCGAAAGAACTGACTTCCGTGGTTGTCGTCTCATTGCGTACTCACGTGACTCTGTGGTCTGTCTTGGCCGATTGTGTTAGGAACATATTCTGTATGAAGTAACTCATCCTTGTGTCTCCTTGTACAGCCATTAATTCTACAGTTCCCGGTTCGGCATCTATTCCGGTGTACCTTGAGGCAGCAGAAACAGGCTTTACCCGCTCTGATTACCTGCCACCTGCGTCAAGGTTCGAGAATACCTGACATTGTGCGGGGTTGTGACTCGGGTCGCCGCAAGCTACGCACCTCTGTTGAACTTGCTGCTGAGCTGCTTCCGTATGGATCGCGTTCGATCGTGTTTGTCCTCGTGCTGGTCCAGGCTCATCTGCCTCTCCCTTGTCCGGGCGGCGACTGTTGTGGGAATTAACTGCGCCAGTTTTGTAAAACGATGGCGCCACCACTAATGACGCTGCCTCTGCGATTTTATACAGCCAATCACTGAATGCCTTGACTGCGGCCACTCTATCGTCGCGGGGTTGCATTGCCCAGTTTAGCTTGTGTTGGTTCGGAAGCTTATCTACCAGTTCCTTGACCAGCATTGGATTGTTGAGATGCGCCTTCAGATCGCACGCCTCCATAGTGGCACACGCGTTTCGCACTGCCAGCGCGTACTCTATTAACGCCTCCAATCTGGCTTTGGGTGGTGCCAGTCTTCGCACCTTTTCCACCATTCTTTCTAGGATGTGCTCTGGTCTGCCGAAGAACATCTTCAAAGTGCTGATGACTTCTGGGACTAGGTTAGGAAGTAGGAGTTTATCTCTAACCAAGTCACGAGCTTTCCCTTTAAGCGAATTTTGCAGACGTAGCATGTTTTCCACATTCGTATATCCCGCTGCTGTCGTACTGTGTTCAAATGTGCTGATAAATAACGGCCAGTCCTCAGGATCCCCGCTGAATGTTGGAAGGTCCATGGGTATAGCTTGCCGGGCCGCTATTTGAGTACTTGTAGGTGAATCTGTGGCTCGAAATATCCCAGCTACCGCTACGTCAGCGGGGTTCATCTGCATGAGAATTTTGTACTTTTCTTCTATGAACTTTGCCTCAGACTGTCTTTTCTCCTCTAGCATATCTAACAAGAGTTGGTTCTTGTTCATGCCGTTGCCGGCAGTATCGATTAGCGTATCGACGGCTAGCGCTTTGGGTATCCATTGCGTCTTCCCGTGTTTGAGACTGTACTGGTGATCTTTGCATACTGCTGTGGCTGCAACCCGCAAGACAGTAATCGCAACTCCAATCCTTGCTCTCAATGTCGTCCTCTACGCCGGCACACTCGAAATGGTACCACCTTCCGCAAACGTCGCACTGTACCCAATTTTCTGACGCTGTTTCGTTTTTGTTCTCGCAAATTCTGCACACTTCAACGTTCATGCTTCGCGTCGTTCGGCGTGCTTGCAATATGGCGTTAGAGTTAGAGAGCTAAAAAACTTCGTCGTTTTTTCTCGCCTCTTTAGCTTCACCTAGCGGTCGCAAACGCCTCGTTCTTCCGCCATTTTATCGTAAATCGATAAGCTTACGTCTAGCGTTTTTCAAAACTTCTAACATTATTCAACACTAATTTGAACGATTTCATTTTTCAAATATAAACTTAATTCTATGACGGCGGTAACAAGCGGTGTACACAGTTACGGCACGCAATTGCTTGCGCGTAGGTCCTCCTGTTGTACCCGTTGGCTGACGGCCAATTTTAAACAAAACAATTAAAAGAACACAAAATTATTAAATCAACGCACGAAAAAAAAACAAACAAGAACAACGAAATCAAATAAAACAAGAACTCGCTCCAACAAGAAAAAACAAAGAAAGGAAGACAGGACATTCTCAAATAAAACTACAACTCGATCCAACAAGAAAAACCAAGCAAGGAAGACAGGAAATCCTCTATCCATTAATACAGTGCATCCAGGAAGGAAGATCAACCACCAACCACCCAGAAGGAAGACCCGAACCCGAGTATCATGAGGAATTAATTTACAATTATAAAAAATAATTAAGAATAATAATTTAAGATCAGGGACTTTAGGAAAAAAAATATAAGAGTTATAAATTGCAAAAAATTAAGATTCGCGATTTAATAAATAATATAAAGAATATATCTGGAAGATTTGATAAATAGCTTTTAAATTTAAATTTAAATTTAAATTTAAATTTAATAGCTTTAAATTAAATTTAACAATGGCAACCCGAGGCTCAGCACCAAATTTTTCTGTAGGCAGTGTATCCAGAGCCGACGGCTTAACAGTGGAATTAATATCAAGATTAATAAACGCTCAATTGAATAAAGTTAGCAGGAAAGTAGAATGTTTAGAAGGAAGGCTAGCCACAGATGCAAACACTGTGGAAGATTATAAAGTACAAACAATTGACCCAGCTATAAAATGCGATACAACACTTGAAGTGGTAAAATCCTTACCAAATTTCACAGGGGAAGCAACACAATATGTAGGTTGGAGGGAAGCTGCAGAAACTGCAATGAGTCTCTATAAAATTGAAAGTGAACAATATTTTATCGCCCTAAAAAATAAAAAAAAAAAATAAAAAATAAAAAAAAAAATGATAAAATTTGTATTTCCGAGTTCTGGGCTCAGATCATGTTTACCATATGTTTATGGGGTCGCTCGGAAAATAAAAATTTGATCAAGTTTTTGAGGTTATGTCGTAACCCTGACATTCTGGAGTTTTTAAGACCTCGAATTCGGATTCAGCGACCCTGAAAACATATAAAAAACATGGTCTGACCCACGGACTCCAATATAAATTTGTAAGAGGTTTTTTTAAGGTTATGTCAGAGCCCTGACGTGCTGGGTTTTTTTTGGACCTCGGATTCGGATTCAGCGACCCCGAAAACATATAAAAAACATGGTCTGACCTCCAGACCCGAAAAAATATTTTTTTTTGTGTAATTAAATTGTTGAGCCAAGCAGTCAAAGACAACTTTTTATTTGTTTTATTTCTCCCAGTTTAGCTTGCTTCATGTGCTTTGCTGTTATATGTAGCGCATGCGCTTTTGGGAGCTTTCGTAGAACTTCTGCACATTAGCTCGTCTTGTATTTTTTTGTATTAACCACGCATCGCCTCTTTCCCACGTAATAAAAGACAACTGCATAGCTCGGAGCTTTTCTTGCTAAGTTTTGATTACCCATGTAATCGGCATTGATTTGAGCGGCTGCACAGTTTTGGTTTAAATGGAGTCCCTCATAAATATTGAAATTTACGCTGCAACTCTTTAATTTATTCGGCCGCAAACAAAAACTATTAATTGCTTTAAATAAATAACAATTAATAATTACATATATGTTATATATCATATGTTTTTGATTTATTGGGAGGGCGAATGAGATTTTTCCATTTTTTTTTAGGGACCTTCTGCAGGATTTTTTTGAAGAATCCTAAAGAATTTGCTTGAAAGTTTTTTACGAATATTTTTTAAGAACTCTTATAATAGTAGCTCTATGCAAAAAATACCCGATACCTCTTTAAGGGGTTATACACAGTTGTACCGCGCCAAAAAATGGAATTTTATCGATTTCTTTTTGACACTATAGAAAATATTTATGAAAAATGTTTTACCGACGTTTTTAAGTGCATGTTTCTGGGTACTTAATTAAATTTTTTCATAAAAAAATATTACATAATAAAAATGTTATAGCCGAATTTCCGGATCGTCTTTTTTCGATGGTGTCTTGCGGTGGACATGATATCCCGAAAACGGTTCATCTGAAATTCAAACTTCAACAAAAATTTAGTTAGTATATTGTATTGTCTAGACCGTGAACGAGAGATTTTTAAAAGTTTTGATTAAATAAAATAGCGACGGTTTTAACCGTTAAGATTTTCGAATTTTATGCTTTAAAAAAGGAGTTTTCCAAAAAAATCCAAAAAAAAATTAAAATCCCTCGTTCACGGCCTAGCTAATATCATAATTAATTTGGTGTTGATCGGATAAGTAGTTTTTTAGTAATCGTGTCCATCGCAAAGGTAATTTCGAAAAATCAAGATTCTGAGATAATCGCGTTTAAAGTTTCCAGTTTGTTCAA